CTGTGAGGTCTTAAGTCACCTGATTCACGTGCCCGTTGTACTACATTAACAAAGGCACGAGGGGTTGGTTGCACTCGATTGGGAAACCGATCCGCATAAACATGTGCCATTTTGTATTTCGTTTGAGCCACGCAGCAAACACCACTATTCACTCACGCGTTACCGACTGACACATTGACTGAATAAAAACATCGTGATCAGCGTTTCAAATTCTTTCGCTTTTTTGTTTCCGATGCGATGAACCGATAAGGCGGATTATATCCGGGTGTTGCCAAACACGAGCACATAATATTATTATTGAGACAGGGTGGTACTCAAACTTCTAAAGGGCCATAACTTTGTTACTTTAATTTTACCACAAAAATGTTAAAGGAAAAAAACATTTCTTTTGATCAGATCTACTCACTGTTAAAATAAATGACTCAACTTCGAAGTTATATATATATATATATATATATATATATATATATATATATATATAGCTTCCGCCTTTTGTTGGGTACTTCGACAAAATTTAATTTTAATAAGAAAATCCGTCGATTGATCTCCTGTGCCAGTCGTTTTCTGCCCTTGATCCAGTCCTTCATCATTCTTACTGCCTGGTTCCCACGACGTTCCGTGATGTTATTGAAAAACCCCAAATCTGTGGATGTAACTTGAGACGACAATGACCACGTCTCAAGTTATATATATATATATACTCGTATATTCTACTTTTTTAAATATTATGTATAAATGGTATCAACGAAAATTAAAATATGGATAATCTGAGTCACAATTAGGGATCATATGGTGTTTTGATACCAAATTCAATTCTCCGTCAATTTAAATAGCGGGTCGTAATCTTAACAGAAGAACAATAAATTGTTTATATCTAGCCGTATTCCCGTTCTAGGTAAATAATATAGTGCAGAAATAATTATTCAGGAACCCTCTTTTCAATCTGCGAAAGGAAAATATACCAGTTTGTTTTTCAAGTCTCAGGAATTTTGCGTCAAGTAGGTTGACTCTGCCCTCCCCACACAACGCCGTTATCAGTTCATAAAGGATTATGTTCAGTACCTACTAGACCCTCTGAGAAAAAAGTTAGTCAGACAAGTCCATACATTTAGTCCATAGACATTCTTTCCCTGCTCTACGGGTAGTGCATCTGGAAACGTCGCCTCTCCGCGATACTTGTCCTGCTAGGCCGTGTCAACGTGGCCAGAGCATAGAAAACACTATGCTGTAGCGCGGCAGATATACGTGAACGTGATCCGTCTGCTCAGAATATCTTTAAGGGCTAATGTACGGAGAAATCTATGATGTGTGAAATAATAGTATGAATAAATAGGTAAGGTTTGGAGCATATGAATGTACTGATATCAAAAGGTTGAGATCAACCCTCCCCACCCCCTAGAACTCCCATCCCCCAAATATTTTACCTCTAACATTTTATTCAAAAATGATCAAGAATCTCTAAAACGTCAAAAAACGAAGTTTGAACGATTTTTATAATTTTTCGTTTTTGGCCTTTTTCTCTGCCGCCACTGGATCAATTTTCAAAAACTACCAAGCTATCACGTCCTTGGTATACTAGTAATATTATGTAAACATTTCATAAAATCCTAGCGTTGCTTCTCAAGTTATCGGTGGTTCTAAGATTAGCTGGCAGACCAACAAACATACCGACGGAAATGAGTGACATGGTTTTTCATGACTTACATGTCATATAACATATAAAAGACATAATTTTCGAGATACTTCCCTGCCAGCAGGCGTGGGAAGTAAAACGATCAAAGTTAGATGACAGCAAGCTACAAGCTATTTGTCGGTGCAATAATAATAATCAGTTAGAACAAATCGATAAAATAAAATTTAATGTATCCCTTAAATCATACCTGTCTTAATCTAACACAAACAATTAGCAAAACAAACATATTCCATGGGAACTACTTGCTCGGTCAAATTAGGCCCCCGTTATGAAATGGGTAAGCGCGCAAAAGGGGGATTTTTCGGTACGTTTTACCAAATTTATGTGCACAGAACCATAATTGCTATTATTTACGAGGGCGTTCGATGTTATCTAAGAAAATTTAAGTGCTTTTAGAGAGCAGATGCTTTACTGTGGTAATGGGGTTTCGTAAAAGATGTGTTGTACATAAATTACCGTTATCCAAATTGATATCGTGTTGTTTTTGTTTACTTTCATTGTATTTTGAGGGTGAGTTAATGTATTATCGGAATCTAAATTTACGTATTTTTGGAAGTGTCTGTGTCTAGTGAATGAAAGTAATATATGAACAGAGGTTCAAACTAATAGTAATAGATAAGAATAACAGAGATGGTTGGAAATCGTAGCTGAGCTGACATAAAATGAATAAATAATATTTTTTTATCTACTTTAATAATGAATTGCTAATGACGACCTACCATTTCCTTTGTCATTCAACATATTTCAAGCGATTCAGAGGAGAACATTCCGACTGATTGGTAACGCATCCTTAGCAAGTAGTTTGACTTTCTTCTATCGATAAGGCTGGACGTTGCTCATCCGAGCTCTTTCATATCGACCTCTGCAACGAAGACTATAGTAACTCAAATACCCTTACTTTTGACCTACTATACGGTATGGATAGACCTTATCGGGTTCTCTTTGGTGGAAGAATATGGTATCTCTATAGGCAACCAACAAATCTTCTACGTCATTCAGCAAGTATAATAGTGGCGGTTGCTCCCGCGAAAACTATATCAAATTGAGTCACGGAAAGCCTAACTTACAGTTAAGCCTTCTGTCCGACTTACTATGATTTTCGCGGCATATTTTGAGGTTACGGTAATTAATAGCGAAAACATTTCAAATATTAGCTGTATGAAAAGAGCAGTTTTCAAATCGAACTAAAATTAATTCAAGAACCAAAATAATTCTGGCAGATGCAGAGAAGCTAAGTGCAGTTAAATTCACGCAAGCTTGGTTCATAAATAGTGATGAATTTTTTTAACGCAAGAAAAAGGATCAAACATAGCATCCTATTCTTCTGCACGTTATGCATTGGGATCTGTCGCATCACCAGAATTCAACTACGAGTACTACAGTCCTCGGTTTTGCTAAGACGACACTCACGTGTTTGCTTTTCATTCGTTCATCTCAAAGTCTGTACCTGATACAGACCTATATTTCAGACCTATATCGTACTGATGAGGGCTGCGGTTGGTCGTGAATCCATTAGTTTCAAATAAAAGGTAAAATCGGAAAATTATAACAAAGACGATTGTGGAGAAAAGTTGAAAATGAATAAGATGAGAGCCTCGTGAAATGAAATAATGGGTGATTTTTTTGCTAGTATCTTTTTGGCAACACTGTTTTTGACAGATGACGTGTGAATCGTGTCTTGTCAAACTTGTTCAGTTTGGTCTATAATTTAACCATGAATCGACTTACGAACGAGCAACGCTTGCAAATTATTGAATTTTACTATCAAAATTAATGCTCGGTTAAGAGAGTGCATCGAGCACTGCTTCCAATTTATGGGCAATTTGGTCGGCCTACTGAGGGAGCTATTCGTAAGCTTGTGACTAAATTTCGAACCCAGTTTACATTATTGGACATTAAACCACCAACACACAGACGTAGAGCGAGGACTGAAGAAAATATTACGGCTGTATCCGCCAGTGTTAGTGATGACCGTGAAATGTCGATTCGCCGCCGTTCGCAGCAATTGGGCCTCTGTTACTCCACTACGTGGACAATTTTGCGACAGGATTTGGGTGTAAAACCTTATAAGATACAGCTGGTGCAAGAATTGAAGCCACACGACCTCCCACATCGTTTCCAATTTGGTGAATGGGCGCTGGCAAAGTTGGAGGAAGATCCACATTTTTATCGAAAAATTGTGTTCAGCAACGAAGCTCATTTCTGGTTGAATGGGTACGTTAACAAGCAAAATTGCCGCATCTGGAGTGAAGACCAGCCAGAAGCATTGCAAGAGCTACCAATGCATCCCGAAAAAATCACTGTTTGGTGTAGATTATGGGCCGGTGGCATCATCGGGCCGTACTTCTTCAAAGACGACAATGGCCGGAGCGTAACTGTGAATGGCGAGCGCTACCGTGCGATGATAACAAACTTTTTTTTGCCCAAAATGGAAGAGCTGGACTTGGCTGACATGTGGTTACAACAAGACGGTGCCACATGCCACACCGCACACGAAACAATGGCCCTATTGAGAGGTGAGTTCGGTGAACAGTTTATCTCACGTTTGGGGCCCGTCAATTGGCCGCCTAGATCGTGTGATTTAACGCCGTTGGACTATTTTTTGTGGGGCCATGTTAAGGCTAATGTCTACAGGGATAAATCAGTGGGAAGCCAATATTGAAGCATTTATTCGTGAGATACCGGCCGATATGTTGGAGAGAGTGTACCAAAATTGGACCTTGCGCATGGGCCATCTAAAGCGGAGCCGCGGCCAACATTTACATGAAATAATCTTTAAATATTAAATTATATCGACCGTTCTATCGACTCAAATAAAGATTTAATCGTTTCTTCAAATTTTTTGTGTTTTTTTTTTGAAAATCAAATCCTATACCAAAAAAAATCACGCGTTATAAGTGTGACTTAATTGATTATTTATTAGAGAACAAGACCGCAAAACAATACGCTTCAGGAACTGCCTTTGCTCTACAGAAGCTTGCTTCCAGTAGATGCTGGAAAATTAAATGGTTTATTAGACCTATGTAAATCAAAAGGAAACAGTCTTCCTAGCATTCCTGAGACTTACCTGCCAAGGAAGATAAAAAATACAAAGAGGACATAATATTAACAGTGCTGAAAATACATACGATGAGAACGATGATATTGGAGACCAGGAAGATGAATATATACTAAGTGATATATAAATCCGAACACCCAGTTTAAATGGTTTTATTTTAATAAAATTTTGTATAAGTACTTAATGAAGCATAATAAGTAAATGATAAAAATTTCAAAATGATTGCACTGCTTTAAAGCCCTTTGACCTTTAATAATGTGTGGATGCACCCTGATGTGCTACGCATTCTCCAACGCGCCTAGGCATGCTTCTGATCAGGTGGTCAATGTCCTCCTGTGGTATCTCATTCCAGGCAACCACCAACTCCTCTCGAAGTGCTTCTAGAGTTTGAGGAGGACGTTGCAAATTGAGCAATCTCCTACCCATCATATCCCACACGTGCTCAATTGGGGATAAGTCGGGAGATCTTGGTGGCCATGGTAACAATGTGACATCATTATGTTGAAGGAAGTCTATTGTGACTCTTGCAACATGTGGTCGGGCATTATCTTGTTGGAAAGTTGGATCTGCCAGGGTGTCAAGATAGGGTAAAAGATGGGGTTCTAGAACTTCGTGGATATAACGCTGCGCGTTCATGTTACCTCTGATGAAGATTAAAGGTGACCTGGAACCATAAGCTATAGCACCCCAAACCATAACTCCAACAGTGTGATGAACATGTCTTTCAACAAAAAACTGTGGATTCCTCCTTTCACCACGTCGCCTTCTAACCCTGGCACGACCATCGTGCATGCCTAAGCAAAATCGAGACTCGTCACTAAAGACAATACTGTTCCATTCCTGATCCCAGAGTGACCGTTGTCTGCACCACTCAAGGCGATTACGTCGGTGTTCTCGAGTTAAAGGGAGGACCCAGTGTGGCCGGTATGAAAACAAGCCAAAACTTCTCATTCGTCGGTAAACACTTCGCATGCCAATAGGTCTCCCGTGTTCTGCAAACCATTCATTTGCAATGGACCTGGCAGTGGAGAAACGGTCCCTTAAGGCCAATAATCTTAGGCGGCGATCTTCACGGTCTGTTGTTCTACGGCGGCGTCCAGTGCCCCTTGCTCTTTGCGTACGGCCTTCTCGAAGCCATGCCTGACAACACCTAACCACAGTGTCTACACTTCTTTGCATTCTAACTGCAATTGCCCGAAAAGAAGGTCCAGCTTCCCGAAGTCCCACTATACGGCCCCTATCAAACTCACTAAGTTGACGAAATCGTACAGGTCTCCGTACTCTAGGCATCGTAACCGATCGTAAAGGATGTCAAGAACCAACATCCGCCAACGTTGATTCTTTAATGCGGCTGAAATATTCATTTTTAGAGCGTTAGTGAATTAAAAAAAAGCACTACAAAAACAGGAATGTCCAACTGATAAGGCTGAATATTTTTTCACTTGTTATTTACAGTAAGATAAATACATTCACCAACTTTTATTAAAATAAAACCATTTAAACTGGGTGTTCGGATTTATATGTCACTTAGTATAATTTGAGTGAGATTGGCATTTTTTTTCGACCATTTGTTTGAAAAATACTGTAATATTTCAATAAGTATCCTACTACGTCTGGAGCAAGTGTACTTTTTTTTTAATTGATCTAACGAAAACTATAGTAAGTCAGCAAAATTTATAAGAAAACTGTCATTTTCACTAGGTTTGTATAGTAATACCATTTATAACCTTCTATATACAAGAATTACTGCGATGTGCAACATATTTTTGATAAGATCGTCATTTTTCTGACAAAGAAGTCCATCAGAAAATCTTCTGATGTCTATATCTCAGTTCAACCAAAACTGAGTTACGATAGTCTTCCTTGCAGGGGTCGAATGACGTCTACTGTTTGTCGCTTCAAGTCAGCGAGCATCAAGAGCTGGCTGGTAGAGGACTGCTTCTTAGTTCCTATTCCTAAAATATTGTAAATTTTAATCTTCAGTGATTTTATTATTCAATTGGATCACCATAAGATATCATTCAGACTATTAAAGTTGTTTAAAAATCCACTTTGGAGTTGGATGTCGGCCTACTCCAAACTTCTCCCTCTGCTGATCTTCTAACAATGAGCTAATTTCTTAGACATTTGAGTGCATCCATTGCGATGCATGAGACCTCCCATACGCACGCACCGTACGGCATGCGTACGGCTGTGTTTCAGGCTCCGAAGCCAACATTGCTTAAGGTTAAATTGCACTTCCTAACTTGGAGTAACTAAAATTGCGGCAACCTAGATCTTTTACTTGGCAGAGGAGGACACATTGAGTTCTAGAGTTTGCTTAACGTTATCTCTCAGATGATATATTTAGAGATTTTTTTTGTCTCAGCAATCTAAAAAAATTTAAATATATTGTGATTTACACAGCATTGCTTGCTCCTTGTTTGGAAAAGAGGCAGCCTGGATGGCAATAGGCGTGCTGGAATAATAATGACTCTATTTTCCATAATGGCAATGAGAAAAGAAAAAAGGCCCCTTTATGAATGAATGAGGATATTAACCTCAAACCATCAATCAAATTTATGTCTGTATCCGTGCCAGCAAGTTAAGTATGGCCTTGAGTTGGTTTCGTCTTTTTAATGCCCGCTGGATACAAAATATTAGTCTTAGGAATGGCCCATCTATGGTAGCCCAGAATCTGCGCACACTTTTTGCTTAGGTCTTGGTCCCATAATGATCCCCGGGTCTCACTGAACTGTCGTCATAAGAGAGCTTGTTACCTTTATAATGTTTTGGGTTTAGAGTCGAAAAGTCTCTCAGACTTCGGGTTCCCTTCTCGGAATTATGTTTGCTATCTGGTTAGCCCGTATATCTACACTATTTACAACTGATATCATCGAGAAACTTCCACTCCACTTCAGTGTCGTAGCAGATAGCTTGTTCTCCTTACTTCCTTGCAGTTCGAAAAAATCATGTAGGTTCCTCTCTTGGCAGACCTGAATGTCTAGAATTCTGATAAAAGATACCTGCAGGGACATTATGTAAAAACCCTAAAAAACGTCAAAAAAAGAACTGGCAAAATGTCTTGTTGCAGACTAGGTAGTTTTTAGTATGCAAATAGTTCATTACACGTTTGTTCGCTATGATCGTTGTGAGCGTCATCAATAGCGTCCATCTACGGACAAATGACTCAACGACACGATACGCTCAGGCATGCATTGCTGGTTGCAGATAGCTAAGTAGTGTTTGTCTCTGAGAAGATGTGAAAGAAAGAAAGTTGGTTGAGTAGCAAAATCGCATCTGGATGACTATGTGTATTGGTCTGCATGTGTATAAAATCAGTGATATTTGTTATGTGACAAAATTTTTGCTGAATATTCTGCCAGTGAAGTTTATCTATCAGCTGTGCCCGACGGGTTATTTACATGTTGTCCTTTATGGAGATACGTAGCACATTTTCTCACCTGTTACGTGTAATATACAACCAGGATTTTCTGTTATCTCCCTCACTTTTGAAATTCAGCAAAATTGCATATGAATTATGAATGAATAGGAAAAAGTGGATGCGCAACTAATTTTTAGCTTTGCGATGAGCATATACCTTCCTTAATGATATGCGAGTATTTAAGGGTGTGAATCTACATGGAAAATTAATATTAGTTTGCTTCATAAACTATGGTCCAAAAATGTTTCCTTACAAAAACTCGGGATGTGGAAGTTTTAGGAAAAAAATGGAAATTAATTAATATTTTCAGAACCGCTTCCGATTCTTCACTGATATTTAGTACGTAGTGAAAGTTAATAAAGTTGCATATTTTTCAATGCAAAAATAATTTTTAGCTTTAACAGTGGCGTGCGTACGGGTATTGACTTCGATATTTTTTAAGAAAAAAATGATACGCCAATGCTTTTCTGCCAAATAAAAAATATTTTTGAATTCTCCGTTCAATTTAAAACAAACGATCTCTCTTGAATTGTTTTCCTTCGATGCGCCATTTTTGAGTAAAAAAATAAAAACCGTTCTATTGTGTAACTTACAAAACTGTTACTAATTTAACTGAAAAAATTAAACAGATTAGGGGTAATGAGCAACAACTAACAACATAAACATAACATTAAAACCAACGAAATGATTACAAAAATTCTTGATAATGGCCCCCTTCACTTAGTGTGCATGCTTCCGCCCTCCTTCTCATGGAATTGCGCACTCGTTGAAATATTCCTGAAGTGTTTTTTATTCTATCACAAGCTGCAACTATTCTTTCTCTTAACTCCTCTACAGTGGTAATGGGACTTGTGTACACTAGTGTCTTAAGATTGATTGCCCCATAAAACGAAATCTAAACTGTTGAGGTCTAGGGACCTTGGTGGCCATTCTTGGGGCCCACCAACTGTTGTTGAAGAAAATTGGGGTAAGTCTGTCCGACAACGCGTCTCCGCAAGAAGTATGGGCCAATAAAGTGGTTGCCAATAATTACGTTAACCGAAAATTGGTGTTGGAAATGGGTTTCGGTTACGGCATAGGGATTTTCTTCTCTCCACAAATGATTATTGTGGAAATTTTGAATGGCATTTCGAGAAAAATTAGCTTCGTCCGTGAACAGAATCATTGATTCAAATTGCGGATTTTGTGTAATCTTTTGAAGATTCCACTGTCGAAAGGTCACACGCCTTGGAAAATCAATGGGAAGTAATGTCTGAACTCTTAAAATATGGTAAGGATATAACAAAAAATCCACTAAAATTCTCCAAACAATTTGATGGCAAATATTTAAGTGTCTAGCGATCTTCCCCGTACTCGTTTCAGGATGTTCTTCGACTTCGTGCAGCACTGCTTCCTCAATTTCAGGTGTTCTCACACATAAAGGTCTAGCTTAAGGTGTTCCTTTTCGGACAGAACCAGTTTCAACAAGACGACGATGAATATTAGAAGAGGTTCGACTATCTGGCAAAGCACGATCGGAATATCTCTGGTGATAAATCCATCTGGCTTGCTCATCATTACCGTCAACAAGGCCATACACGTAATGCATTTCCGCCATTTCTGCATTTGAATAATTCACCATTATTAACAAGATTGTAAAAACTAAATAATGAAAAAGATGTCACAGCGAACAGATTTGAATAACAGAGACTCGTCAGATGTCAAAAGCCAGTACATATTCCAGAGCAACTAGATATTTATTGCTAAATTGCATTCTTCAATTATTACATTAATTTTCTCGCACAATAGAACGGTTTTTATTTTTTTACTCAAAAATGGCGCATCGAAGGAAAGCAATCCAAGAGAGATCGTTTGTTTCAAATCGAACGGGGAAATCAAAAATAATTTTTAGTTGGCAAAAAACCATTGGCGTACATTTTTTTTAAAAATATCTAAGTTAATACTCGTACGCACGCCAATGTTAAAGCAAAAAATTATTTTTGCATTGAAAAATATGCAACTTTATTAACTTTCACTTCGTACTAAATATCAGTGAAATACCTGAAGCAGTTCTGAAAATATTAATTAATTTCCATTTTTTTCATAAAACTTCAACACCCCGAGTTTTTATAAGGATTCATTTTTGGATCAAAGTTTAGGTGCATAAAGCAAACTAACATTAATTTTTCATGCAGATTCACACCCTTAAATATTCGCATATCATTAAGGAACACCCTGTAGATATATGGACCTTGTCCCCACTTTCGTCAGGTGGTCTGACTACCAGATTCACTCATAAATGTATGAGTTATACTAACGAATTCAGACTTAGGTAGAAGGAGCCTGTCAGGATTTGTTTGTCTCCGTATTGCAAAGAGTACTTGACATAAGTCAATGTTTTGACAGTTCTGACCTTAAAATCACATATATCGTGTTATTTTTTAATAGTGCGAGTGTTTGCTCATACCTGAGCTCAAGACATCATACTTCTTATATAATTTGCAAAGAGCGGCACAAGCCTAATGGAAGGAGATGTCTCCACCGGTAAGTATTATTATGTTTATACACCGCTGTCAGGTAGGTATTAGAACATAAATGAGTCGAAAGCATGCACTGAAATTAATCAATTTTGTCGACAAACGGTGGAATGTGAACCTCCTTCTAATCTATTGAAATTCTTCAAGTTATAGCTATCGGGGCCCTTAGCCACATCCAAGACATGCACCCTCTGCATACGCGATCTCATTACGACACCGATAGCATCTGTACGAACAAAAAGGGTGAATGAGCATGAAGGGTATAGGGAGGGGAAGGGATAGAAGGGGCAGACACACAACTTTCCTCCTTCCGTCAGTCGCTGTGTGTGCATATGAGACCGTAATGGCTAATTTTCATTGGCGGGGGGAAGAAAGATGAGTGTGTGCACGTATGTGCGTAAGGCCACCCCTCATTGCACACGACACAGACTGTCGTCTACAGGGTGACAATCAATTCTGGTGATGAAAGTTCGCTTAGTGGGGTTTTTAGCGACATCAGAAAATTAGCTTCTGTTTTTAGTCTTTAAGATGCACCAAATATTAAGTTCGAGCTTTATTCGCAAAGATCGGTCTTGATCAAAAGGCGAACTGTTCTCTGTTATGAGGGATACCTTACCACCCATCTATATTAAGCCTTCCTGCTAGACCATAAGATGGGAATTGTCATATGGGTTAATTGGACAATTTTATCGAACTAAAAGGTTGTCAGTTGAGTTCTGGCTCTTTAAACCATATCGCTTGCCGCTAATCAAATTATAGACATTTCAGAACTTTGGAAGTTTCTTGTTGATATAGTTCTGCATCACTTTGTTGATCACAACAGAATTTTCAGAAAGAATGTTAATTGCAATTTCTCATTTGTGTAGTTTCAAATTCGACCTGATTTTCTACTTTTACTTCTAACGCCAGTTGGCAAGGAGCTATTGTAATCACGAAAAATTTCGAAAATGAAATATCATTTTTTGTTTCATAACATATACGTATATAGGAAGTACCTGTCGAAGTTTTATGATTGGTATATTACGGATATACAAGCTTTGCGGGTTTTGAAAATCAATCTAATGGTGGTGCGACTACGGGCAAAAAAACAAAAATATAAACTGTGTTTTACGTCGTTTCAGCTACATTTTCAGAACCTTTTCCTAAAAAGACTAAACATGGGGGGAGCTGTACGAGGGGGGCACTATAAACGTTCTATTTTTAATAATAGTAAAAATTTTTCTGTTAATAAGGAGCTCTGATCTCGGTATACTAGACACACTATACGGGGGTGTCTTTTAAGTTTTGCATATGGAAATAAAACAACACGGTAGGTAGTTTTAAATCACTTTATTGTTTTTCGAAGTATTCTCCACGAAGATTAATACACATCTGCATGCGCTCGAACCAATTTTCGAAGCACTTATTCCACTCGTTTGCTGGCAGATCCCAAATGGCATTTTTGAATGCGTCAACTGCTTCTGCTGGTGACTGGAACCTTTGACCACGCAGTCTCTTTTTAATTTTCGGGAAAGTAAATAAATCGTTAGGACTTGGATCGGGACTATATGGAGGATGGTCCAATAATTCCACGTTTTCTTCCGTTAAATACCGCCTTGTTTTTTGGGCTGTGTGCGAGTTTGCATTGTCTTGGTGGAGGATGATTATTCTTTCGGGGTTGATTTTTCGAAGCTCGGTGATGACTTTTGGAAAACAAATGGTGGTATACCAATCCGCAATAATAGTTATTTGCTCATTAAGAGGAATTGTTGCAATATGACCCGCTTTTGACACAAATGTCGCGACCATCTTTTTCGAAACACCTCGAGAACGGAATGACTTTTGTTAGCTTTTCTTCACCTTGGAACACCCAAATAGCCGACGGTCATTTATTTTCTGGTTCATAACAGTAAATCCACGATTCATCACCACTAAAAATGCTGAACACATTTTTTGAGTTTCCGGAATTGAAACGGTCAAGCGTTTTTTGACACCAATTAACCCTGGCTGCTTTCTGCTCTTCAGTCAACAGGTGTGGTATCCAACGAGAAACTAATTTTCTTACTCCTAATTCTTCATGTAAAATTTTTTGAATTGACATCTTCGAGGACGCCTCAATCTCGCGTTTTTGGTGCACCCACCCTGGGATCGTCGCTAAGACTCACCCGTCCACGTTTGAATTCTCCATACCATCGGGAAATTGTAGAATGATGTGGCGCTTCGTTTCCGAAAACAGACAGTAACTCAGCAAGGCATTCTTGTTGCGATAATTGTCTCTGAAAGTTGTAATAAAGTATGGCGCGAAAATGTTCTCGGTTGAGTTCCATTTTTCTAATGACTTGGTGACACTTAAAAATTCACTGCAGTGAGAACACTGCACAAATTGTTGTGAAACCTTGAATTTAAGTTTACTAAAGAGTGAGGTTAAGATTCAGTACTGACGTTCGATCCGCGCAGCCTACTATGTTTCTATATGCAAAACTTAAAAGACATCCCTCATATATCCCGTACATTTCGATTGGAACAGAAATTGATAATTTTGTGTTCTATAGTTTGAGATGTAAAAGTCTTAACTGAACATACCTGGTCGAGTTTCAATTTCATTTGAGGTTTTTAAATAGATTTAACTTCTTTTTTTGATATTTTCAAAAGTGTATCAAACTGACATCATTTTTTGCTTATAAAATGCTAATGTTCCTTACCGAAGCAGCAATCATGTAAAAGTCAAGGTGGCGGAAGACGCAAATAGAAAAATCATCAGTCGGGAGCGGAAAGAGACCTACTAGACGCTTCTCTTTGATAGATTTATACACAATAAATCACCAATCGTCCTTCCCGCAAAGAAAATAATTCGGTTCATTAGAAGATGCCGAGACGCTCTGCTGAAAGGCGTGCGTTACATTATATTTCTGTCACTACTCACTGAATTTCATCAGATATCTGTGGTAGGAGTGCGATTTTTAATCAGGAAAATTGCCACTCGGTATGCTTCCTTAAGAGGAGCGTTGATATATGCAGGGTATTCTGAAGGTTGGGACCATGCCTTATCGAAACAGCTAAATTTGAAATAAGGAAGCTAATACAGTAGATCCCCGATTATCCGAATAGTGATTATCCGAAATCCGCTTTATCTGAAACAGATCGCATACAATAATTTTTCCGTTTTAACCGGAGTTGTTCGGGAAATCGGCGCATGATACGAAATAGCCGCCGGTAGTTCCCCTTTCGGCATTTGCGTCATTAGATTCGCTACGGTAATTCCCCAAGCGCGTTTGCGGAATTCACTGGTATGTGTGCGTGTATGTTTGTTTCAGTCAGGTTCATAAGCGCTAAGATGGAGCAGCATAAAAATAAACGTAAACGCGTTGTTATTACCATAGAAAAGAAACTTGAGGAAATCAGACGTCTAGATAGAGGTGATTTGCTTAAAAACGTGGCAAGTGATTTGGGTGTGGGCGTGACCATTTCAGAATTTCCTGAAAATTTGAAATTAGCCATAATCGTCCCGGTATATTAAAAAGGAGTCCCTAATGACTTGGTAAACTATAGACCAATAAGCCTACTTTCTTTGTTTGCAAAGCTTTTCGAACTGGTGATGTATTCACGAATTATGTATCACATGCTCTGTAATAACTTAATTGCTGAATCACAACATGGCTTCATAAAAGGGAAATCGTTAAATACGGCTATACACCTTAGGAAAAACCATTGTTATACATGGGAAATCATTTCTTGGCAACAGCGCATCGGCTCGTCTACTTTCATCGCTATTCGTACATATTTCCTACCCTTAACGCGCGTGCCGTTGTCAAGTGCGATAAGGGATTCATGACTCACTCTGCGGTTGGGTTTTGTGTAGGAAAGGTGCGTCTTTATTTAATCCAAAATATCTTAAAAATGTACTCGCAAGAAGAAAAGTTTCAAATGATAGAATGGTACATCCAGAATAATTCAGCACGCGCGGTTGTTGAATTATTTGCGGTACGCTTCCCAGATCGGCCAATTCCGTCTCACGCAACGGTTATAAATACCTACGAAAAATTCAAGAGGGTGGGCTGCTTACATAAGTGCCATAGCTGCATGCGCCCTGAAGGTTGGAAACCAAAAATTAGCGAGAAAAGGGAGGAGATCGAAACTGCTGTTTATGCCGCTGCAGAAGTATCTGAGCCATGCTCAAGCAGAAAAATTGCTGAAATGGTACCAATAGCCGATCTCACACCCAGAACAACAAGAAATGTTTTGCATCGCAACGGCTATCATAGCTTCAAGGTTGGAACGGTTCAAGAAATATTTCCTTTAGACAAATACCGTCGAATGGAGTTTTGTGAAACGGTCATGGAGAAGGCGAACAGGGATGGAAGTTTTATTGGTAACAGGTGAAAATCGTTGAAGCGCTCGGGCAAATACAGCCTTCTACCCTCTTGAGAGTTCGTCAGGAGTTTTATAACCGCCTGACATACTGTTCATTGAATGAAGGAGACGTTTTTGAGCTGTGAAGGACCATTTGAAGCATTTGTGTTCATTATTGCGTTTTATTTTTGAGAACTTATTTTGTTGTTATAATATCTTTTTATTTTCGTTACACATTTTTAAGAGTGTACTATTTTTTGTTAGAGTGGGTATCTTCATATTTTTGTTATGAGACGCAACCTTTATTGCTACAAAACCAATTATCCATTCATAAAAATAAGTAGAGTGATTTAGGTGATTTCGTGAAATCTCGAAATCACCGAAATCGGTTCACAGGACGTCCAATCGAACTGGTGCGTAATGCGCGCATCTACTGTACTTCTATCGACTCAACGCATACTGAAATTTGCAGCAGACCGCAGACCTGTATCACGAATGAGAATAATAGGCAGATACGCTGTGTTGCCAATTTGAGTAGAGCTTCCCGAATTGTGGGGAATTTAGAGTTAAGTGTTGATTCATTCAAGCTTTTAATCAGCATGGCCTAGACGTTAGAACTTCACAAAGATAACATTGAAGCTGAATGCTGCTGGAGTATAGTGTTTTGAATATTCAAAGCGGAGCGGGACACTATCCTCGTTCAATGGGTCATCAAGCCACAGTCTTTTCAACAAAGAAATTATTTTACGAAAATGCGTTATATTTTTACGATTTTGTCGTCACCAAATCTCTGTTTCTCAAAATATACGTCTATTGTAGAATTTTCAGCAAACTAAGTAAGAAACGTGATCTAGTATTTACTCAACATTACGGATTTCTTGAAATACATTAAAAAATGTGACCTAGATACTGCCCCAAGCTCTTTAAATATAACACCTTAAACCAGGGTTACCAGGTGCTCAGTCACGTTGACTGTCATGTTGTACTGCGCAAGTCAGCAAACAATCTGGCGTAATAAACGTTAGGAATCATCAGGTATTGCCAGATTCCCGAATACCGGGCACCAGAGTACCCATTATAGTTGTCCTTCAAAGTTGTCAAATCGCCCCTATGGCGCAAATTCGCCACACCAGGCAACTGTGCTATAAACAAACCCTGTTTATTTTTGATTTGATAGTCATATGGTAGTTGTAGCCCTATCTAGCGGTCCATTATTTCTCTCAATACTGTTGTATCTCTACTGGCAACAAGAATAGGGATTTCAAAATCATTTATACAACAATATACAAACATGAAAAATATGATTTCAACCATGAAATATTAATACAATTTTAATAGCTTGAACTTTTTTCATTTTTGGAATACTCTTATGTGGAATCCGCAGCTATTTTTCCCGAAATTTGGGTAGACTTAGATTTCTTAGAAATATGACATATTGGTATCGGCAACTCTGCGAATGGGAGAAACAAATCGCATTTGTTGAGCGCATCCGTCTAAGCAGCAGGTGCCAGCGCCCGTTCTGCCATCTCTCTTTTATCACTCTTCTACTTTACCCCGTTGTCCGTCACACTCCGACGCTGCCAGATAGGATCCTACAATCGAGTGTCTTTCACGCACCTACATACTTTTGTATATTTCCATCTCTCTTCCTCATCATAATGTATAATAATGTTTTTTCCCAAGGTGTATACTCCTTTAGCCACAGTATTGTAGAATGTCTGGAAAATAATATGATATCACTGGGTTTGTTTTTTGATCTCTCCAAAGCATATGATTGTGTAGAACATTCTCTCTTACTGAGTAAACTTGGGGCATTTGGGATAAGGGGAAGTGCCTGGAACCGGGTCAAGTCTTATTTAACAGACCGCCAACAAAGTGTTTCCATCATAAAGAATGGCATGACAGCTGTCTCATCGCAGTTAACAGTAAATAGAGGTATCCCACAAGGAAGCGTCTTGGGTCCTCTCCTCTTTTTGATGTTTGTAAATGATCTGAGTGACAGTATAGCAAACCCGAATAATGTATGTACTATTCAGTATGCCGATGATACTAGTGTGATTATAGCTGGCCAAGATTTCAACCAAGTAACCGAAAATACATTGAGCATGAGAAAGCATGTTGGTGGCTTGCTCGCAACGTCTATCCTTGAATAGATTTTTTTTGCGATTTAGCAAGTAAATTGAGACAAAATAGTTACTATTCGATATCGGAAATTTCTGGTACTGCCTTGTCACATGTTGCGCTGTAAATACTGTTAGAAGTTGTCGTTGTTGTTCTAAAAAGACTGTTAAAAGCATGTTAACTGTTTCCTAAATAAAACTGAACTACTGTGTATGAGACCCTTATTAGTTCCTTAATGATGATTGTATAATTTTCTCGAATAGTGATAAGTTCCTGAGACTTTTAATATATGCCAGGTTTAAACGCTCCTCTTAATCATGAAAATTTGCGAGCAGCCGGTCGGTACGCTTACTTAGGAAATTGGTCACCCACGTGTCCCTTCACCCCATTTCCTAAGGGTTCCTGTTCTGCGGCAGACAAGACGCACGCGTACGCGTAGCGCCGGGCACGAAACAGGTCAGGCTAATGCTGAGTTTGCAATAGGATGACCGCAAATTTCACGCTTAGTCAAACCCAGGCCGCCTTGAAGGGCCACAGTGAGGGACTGAACGAGATTTTTAAAAATTATTCAATTTAAGGTTTAAAGATAAAGACTTTCCAATAGTGAGTGAAAATGGTGAGCCAGAAAGTCAACGGGATACACTGCCAAAAGTGCAAAAATATTACTTATAGAAAATATGTAAAAAATGTTATGAGTCATTGCAATGTTTTCATTTTATTTAACACTGATGTTAATATAATAAACTGGGGTTAAGTTTTATTCAAAACGAAACACGACTTAGCAGCAGTGACGTCATGACAACATTTTCGTTTTACACACAGCTCAGATACGCTCACATCATTTCAGTTTGCACAGTTTATTTCACGTTTCTTTTACCAAAACTCAGTTTATCATGAGGTGAAATTTTTGGACCAACGTCAGCTGAGTGAGATTTGTTATCACCCGCAGCAAAATCCGCCGAATTCATATTGTGAGAACCTTGCTTAGAATTTCATTCTTGAGGCGATCCATGTCGGCAAATTGCAAACATGTTTTACCTTGAGTTTATCCTCATGCTAGATTAGAAAAAATATTTTTTTTAGGTTATGTTCTGAGTTGGGTCAGCGCAGCTGTTCTTTTTTCAACTCTAGAGCTAGACATCCTGATTTGACAGCCTCATCTCTGTCTACTTACCTGTGCCTTACTTGCAAAACGGACGCAACAGTACAGCCTGAAGCTACTGATCAACTTTTCACGAACGCTCTTAGTTAGACATAATGCCTACGAGGTGTGTAACTTAAGTGATGAGACTGGCAACATAGCCTTCGATTTGGGGGCGTAGGGCTTGGAGGGGAAACAGTGTGAAACAGTTTTTCCTGTGTTCTAAAAATGATTGACATCAATTTAGAGCAACGTTGTGCTACCCGGTTTTGCTTCAGACTTGGGTAAGGTGCAACGGAAACTCTTGCTAAACTTCAGGAGAACAAAATAAAAAAAATGGACCTGGTAGAAATAATAATAAAACATTGATGACTATGTGTGACAGTTAGCGTCACTCAAACCGTTAGCTTGACACAGCATTTTCTTCATATGAATGTTTCCATATTTAGTATGCTAGGCTTCATCCTTAAAAATGAAATCAAAAATAAGATATCGCATACAACCTTCTTGGAAGACCTTGCATTTACTGTTTTGAGTATTTTGCCGATTATTGATTACTTTCTCGAAGACTATGGTCTCCATATTATTTCGTGAGACAAGAGATCCTAGTCTAGCTGGATTTGTTTCTGTTATTAAATAATTTCAAGTAGCGAACAATAGAACAATTTCCACATGTCGTGTCCAGTCCATAATTGAAATAAAACGAGAATAATGATGTTTTTCCGTAAATTTTAATTGGGATGAGGATATCTGTTCGCATTATACATGATTGATTACGGATTATTTACTCAGCGTCCCGCCGACAAATTTTAATAAATTTCAATGTGCTTAATGTCACGTTAGTCCAGGCATATTGGTATATCCATAAATTACATATACAGAACTACAGCTACTGTTGGTCTCTTGCATCTTGTATCTTACAAGTAACCTACCAACTATTATGGGTGTCTGGAGGATTTTTTCCAATGGGCCCAAATAAAAAATGTATCATCGTGTTTCGGAAGAAAAATATCGTCTCATATTAATTATATGATACATTGAATACCTGATAAATTCACCTTTGATGATTTCCCGAGAACCTACTTTTTAAAAATCGGTGACCGAATGTGTCACAGTGACAGTGACGGAAATCGCACTAAACGCAACTTACTAATTTTTTACTATGGCCGTACTCTGCGGTATATCATTAGATAGAGTGTTTCTAAAACATAGGACAGAAATTGAAGGGTTGGTTCTTTGGACTATTCTAAAACTGTCATCCTCTGATGAATTTCGAGATACTGCTTCGTTTTGGAATTACTTTGCCACTTTCTTTCTTGAATAACTTTTGAACAACATCGTATAATACAGCGAAATTTTGACGTCTTAGTAACTAGTTGAGGCTTCACATGATTGTGTCCCTGTCCATTTGGTTGACCAGGGATGGATTAGCCTTAAAGTATAATTGCTCATTTTCCATAAGCTGTATAATAAAGGCTAGAACGTGATGCTTTTGGAAAGCCTGGTCTTTTATCTGAAAATGCAGTTTTATTTGATTTTTATAATATGAACTGATTTCGAGAAGAAACCAGTCTTGTTTCATTATTACTCGTATGGTTTTACAATGTAGCAAATTATCCAAAAATTGACCAAGGGACTAAAACTTGACAAAGAGATCTAAAAATTTGTATGTTTTCTATTTTTCGGATTGCTGATTACGAATGTGCTATAAAAACTGCCGCATTTTCAAAATTTTCCTCAAAAGCGGTTCATTTTATTACAGTCAAGCAGAAATACATTTTTTCAGATAAGGTATTCAAAAAATACTATATTTTTGACACATGCGTAAAAAATAAAATATCTGCTCAGGGCTAGCCCACCCCTGGCGAACTGAATGAGTCATTTTCCATAGACATCATTATATTAAACATAAAGTAATTACTGGATTATATTTTGTTATTTTCTATTGGCATATACTACCGTATAATCCAAAGAAGCAATTCTCGGATTTTTGCCTATTTTATGGAAACATCCTGTATTTAATTTAACGTCTAAAACCAAAAGGAATATAAGAATTGATAGTGGGCATTGCAAAAGTGAAGCAAAATATTTAAGGGGGTGATTCTTAGGTTTTTTGAAAAAACATTCATAAAAAACGTCTTAAATTTTGAGATACATCTGATTACCAGAATTTTAGAATTTTATTTTTCCATGTTTCCTAACATCTGTGCGTCGGTTTTGATGCTTTCCTAACCGCGTAATCTGTGAAACGGCTGCATTGATTTCGATGAAATTTGAAGAGGGATACGACGTAATGGCACTTCATTTTTTAAATTCGGTACAATCGCTATGAAGTTTATACATATAATAATTTATAATTTTGGGACGCAATCCACATTTTGTCTTTTATTTTTATATCTACTAAAGGGTTATTTCAAATACTTTTGTTAGACGATAATAGTATATACGTATTCAGTTTAAGAAAATAGAACTCACCTATGGTTAATGATAGTACCTGAAAATTAACGTAATTTTCATGTTGATAGGATTCCATGATTGTCTAGCCGCTAAATGAAATCACATATTATATGTAGTTAAAATTATCTAGATTTCTCCACTATGATGCAATGGTTATAGTGACCAGCCTATAAGTTTTCATGGAATCGACGTGTGCACGTAACTGGGATATTTTCATATAAATCGGACCATATGATAAATGGTTGGAGATCGTCCGTAATGGTTAAATGGTAATATTCTAACAGTAGTTGGATTGTGGGCTGAATATTTATTCGAATGATCATCCACCGGCTGGCATTTTATTGTCCAACGGATCGCTGCATTCAAACGACTTCCAAGTACGACGATTATCAGGGAAACACGATTTGCTATCCGACATTGTCTCGATCCTGATCCGATTCCATAAATGAAGCTATGACAATTTTACAACTATACACTACCAAATATGCTTCCCCCAATTCTTTTTCAATTGTAATAGTGATTAATTTCGAAAGTGAGCTACTATGTTTTTTTTTGGATGGCATATGGCATGCACATCACGAGAAACCATGTCACTCATTTCCGTCCGTCTGTCTGTCGGTTTGTCCGCAAATCCTTGGCCCGTCTGTAACTTGGAAAGAAGTAACTAGGTCGCAGCGTTGTCATATTGATAAGACGGTAGACTAACTGTTGGGGCCTGTTAAACTCACTTCAATTCTTTTTTTTTTGTTGAACATATTAGTAGTTAGCTATTATCCTATATCAATAATCCTTTATGAACTTATGACAGCATTGTATGGGAAGTGCAGATTCTACCTCCTTGACCTCATTACTTTTTCGCAAATCATCTAGTTCCTGGTCCTACAGGCCTAACGGAGTGAATAAACTGACCAACTGGCTTAAGGACAAATGTCCCATGGAGCTTCGACGAGACAATTGTACGAGCCCCTTCCCACTTCAGTTGGCCCACTTCAAGATTTGTACCAAAATATGCCTTTATAAACTAAACATGACGAAACTATTTACTTCTAAAACAATTTATTTTCCCAGAAACATTTTAGATACACTCTAGTCGTAAAAAAATACATATTTGAAATCACTTAGACCTATAACTAATAGAACATCTGAACAAATAAACAATGTGCGAATAAATACGCGAAGTTAACAAAGCAACAATTGAAAGATTACCATTGGGTAACATCATCTTTATTTTTTATTACGGCTGAAATTCTTTGGGGCATAGTGTTAACCAAGTTTTGGCAAAAATTTGGTCTAAAACAATCCCATATTTCTTGAAGCTTTTGTCTCAGTTCGGTAATTGTACGAGCAGGATGTTGTCGTAGAATCTTTTTCATATCGTGCCACAAAGTTTCAATAGGTGACAGATCTGGACTGGTAGAAACCCATTTCAAAAGTGGTACATTAGTTTCTTCCATCCATTTTATAGCCTTTTTAGAGGTATGGCACGCTGCACCATCTTGCTGAAACACAAAATCTTGGCCGGATGTCAAACATTCTTCCATCACTGGTAAAAGCGATTCTTCTAAAATTACCAAATATTTGTTTGTATCCACATTTCCATCAATAAAATGAAGTTTTCCTAATCCTTTTGATGACATACTATCCCAGACCATAATGGATGCTGGAAATTTCACTTTTCTTTTCAGACAGTCAACATGGAATGCTTCATTTTTTTTGCGAATAACTCTACTGCAACTGTCACCAACACAAACTTCGAATCGGGCCTCATCACTCCATTGTATTGCACACCATTGTTGAGGTGTCCATTGTCTATGTTCTTTAGCCCATATAAGCTGATTTTTCTTTTGCGGTGGAGTTAATAGTGGCTTTTCTTTGGCCTATAAACAAGTTGTGCAACTTTAGGGTTTTTACTTCACTTTTCTTATAAGAAATCTTACCTTGCAAGTGCTAAATCCCAGTTTGTGGGCCTCTCTATGAGCTGTAGACCTCGAAACTCTCCTTCCAACAGCGTCACTCCACAGAGCACTTAATTGTAAATAATTGGCACGCCTGTTTTTCACGATTATTCTTCTTAATGCTCTTCGGTCGGCATTTGTGATATTACTTTTTTTCACATATCGTATTAACTGAACCAGTTACGTTATATGTTCTAACAATATTTTCACATTGTACCGCGATAAGTCTAACAAAGTTGCAATTTCTGAGTTTGATTTCTCAGAATTAAATAAATTAATTATCAGTAACCGAATTTTCTCACTAATAACCTTTCCTCTACCCATTTTGAAGACCTTAACTACCCAAAACTATTTTAAACGTATTCTGACAGCTGTGATTAATAAAAACAATTGTCATGGCTTTTATTTTTCACAGCCACCTATGCGTTATAGATTTATTTTGCATTGAAATGAAAATAGGTTGATATGCTGTAATTGCAACATGTGTTATTTTTATGCTGCAAATTTGATGAGGGAGTGATAAAGTTGGTGTTTTCTACTATATATTATCAAAATATTTATTGTTAATATTTTAAACCTATAAAACCCTGTTACATTTTTATTATTTGTGTTTGATAAGAAAAAAACTAAGATTTCAATAGTATGGCCAAGTTAAGTGGGAAGGGGCTCGTAGTTCGTCATTACGTTAACTGATGCAAATTGGGCAGGATACATTTAGTTCTAAACGTACTCCATTGGAAAATTTGCGTTCTGCTAGGTTACGGTTTTGGCCTTTCGATGCGATTATTAACACTTATTGTCCTTCTTAATCGGTTTTCTCTGTTTGTTTTTACACAAAATTAGATTCCAACAGTTCTTTGTTCAAAATCGGTAAATATAACTCCTTCACCTTATATCCGTCAAATTGTTATAACCATCGAGCATATTTTTTCAGTTTTCGGTAATGCTATGTATACGATATCGCGTGAATACTGGAAGCATATTTTAACGACAGTGATAAATCATCAACAAAATTTAAGTTCCACAGTCACGATTGCGGTTGGCTGTCATAGGCGCCACCACGACTTGTCTGAGAAGAAGAAAACGTAAAATTACGTTTTATGGGAACGTTAAAGTTTTGCTGTATCGTAGGCAGATATCTCATAGTTTTTTAGAGTTGACTTATTTTTTAACCCATAGTTGTTTGTTGTTGACTTACATGAACTCCCTACCACCGACATGTAAAATTGTATCCGAATTTCAGTTTTGAATACCCAAAAGGACGTTACACCGACCTCATATATAGATTATTCTGAAAGTTGGAACGTTTCTTTTACGAAACAAATACGCTTGAATTAAGGCTAATGAGTGGTAATTCAGCAGCGAATTAGTAATAAGAAATTGAGCAATAGCAAGCACTATTCATTCGATAATGAATGTCAACATGTCGCTTCTCTTGATTCAAAAACACAAGTTTGTTACCTTATTCCTCAATTTTCAACATTCATGGCTGTCTAGTTTTTCCTCTCTGCCCAGTTCGATGTCCCCGCAAACTGCATTTGTAAGAGATAAGCAATCTTATCGGCGAGGGATGGAAAAGTCCAGGAAAACCGGTTGAATACTGACACACGTCGTATCTTTCCACCTAATCATTTACTGGAAGCAGGGTACTTGATATCGTAGATTTTTTGTATTGAGACCAGACAAGTTTTTAGGCCGTACGCTAGATTAAACCTTTTCAAGCGCTAAACTTTATATTGTACGGTGATAGCAGCGTGCGTCCTATTTTTGACCCTATAGATAATAACTGCAAAAGCTGAATGAAGCTTTTCGGAATTAAAAGCAAGTAAAATAGTTTAGGACATCTATGAGGCAACTTTGGCTTTCAAGCAGGGTAGTATCTTCAGAGGCTGAAAATTTCGAAACACTAAAATCGTCTTCCGCTATGGATGGTTAAAAAGAAAATAGTGGAAAGTAGATGGACCGGCATTTCCCAAGCATCCACCTATGCCTATTTTCAAATGTTCCATGAGTCAAGATAAGCCTTTTGCTAAAGAAACAAAATGTTTGAGCTCCATAATGTTTTTGAATATACCCTATCCTGAAGCAATTAGAAACGATGAACGCAAATTTTTAAAAATTATAGCCTTTCCACAGAGATGTTTGATTACCCTTAAAAATGCGCAGGAAGTTGTAAAGCATAAAAATCAAACTTTGGGATGATCAGAAAGGGATTTTCAAAATTAAGTCGCATTATCTACGTGTTGTAGACATCGCAAAACAAAAAACATTTATCTGAATTTCTAAAATTTTCGGTTTCACAGTACTACCCCTCGCCTCAAAGTAGACTTTATAGAAACTTACCTCTTGCCGATGTACCTCCTCCTCTCACTGAGAAAAAAGTTGGGTGGGACCTCCTTACAAATTTTGATATGGCCACGGCACTGCTTGAGACTTTGGTGCATGAGTTGCTAGGAGAATTTGCTTATTTTTATAAGAACTATACACCGCGTAAATAAAATACCCAACTTTAAGAATACCCTGTACATGCCTATACCTATCTTGGGATGCTAAAAAGCTCAATAAGGAAAAAGAACATCAGCACAAGTAACACTGGAAACTGGAACTTTGTGTCTGGATGCAGGAATAGTACAAACTTTTTTTGGAACCATGTCCGGAAACCGCAGCATAACTGTTGCCAATGAGTGAGAATTAACTATAGTAAAGGCCGTCTGTCACGATACAAAATGTTGCCCATAATTCGGTATCAAATTTTCTGGAAAAAAATGAGTTACTGAGTTTAGTTCCCAATTTGTTTAAAATTATAATCCTGTCTGTCACGTAAACAAATTTTTGTAGTAAATTTCGTACGAAATCATGCACAGTCGGTGAAAAACTATAACTGTCAACTTTTCGTTGCTATTTTATTTCTTTAAACGAATAGAAAATTGTAGAAAATGGAGTGATTCCCAGCGATCTGCGTTGTAGCTGCCAACCTCATGAAAAAAACGAAGTAAACGAAACCGTAAAAGGTTTGGCGTTAAAAATGGAGGAATGGGTGTGCTCCAGATAGTGAATAAAGAGCTTCTAGCGGAGCATTTACTGGCTTACAGGCCTAGCTGGTTCTGAAGACATTTTGGTTTTATCCAGCACAGCTTATTTGTCGTTTCTGTTGTTAAAGGCCTTGCTTTTTACAGCATATAAACAATCATATTTCTCATACCCGTTTAGCAATATGCCGCAGTGCTATTTTGACCGTGATATCTTTTAAGTTTTCAATCTACAAGTAGAATAGCATACAGAATAAGCAGGGGAGTTTCCCGAAACTGATAAATACAACTGACCACAACAACTGATGAAAGTGCAAGAGGTTTTTTTTGTCAACCATCTCATCTAATCATTACAAAACATCAAGAGAATATCAAGGAGTTAACACAAAATATGTACATAATGCTCTGTCCCATAGCGCTTCTATCAGCCATTCTACTGCTCCAAATGCGCAGTAGGCGTCTGCGCACTTTTAGCATAATATCATTTATGTTCTAAAAAAATTAACACTCAATTGGACCTTTAACAAAACCTCACGGAGTGTCAAAAAATAGAGTAGTATGATGAAGATCTCACCGGTACGACTTTTGTCAATCTTTCATGACCTCAGCGAGTGCGAAGCTTAGGCCCGTATCGTCAGTCGTCTCTACAATTGTAGGGCGCGTTTATGGCCTCCTTGATTGTCATAGTTTTCCACTTCTCCGTGTCAGAGCTCTATTTTGAGGTTATGTCACAAACATCTATTTGCATCAAATTGTGCTTGCTGAAATTTCCTACAATTTAAAAGGAAAACATATCTTAACAATAGGAGAGCGCTGACGCTGACACGGGACGAGTGTAATATAGAAGTTTATGAAGGAGAGAAAAGAGTATGACAATCAAGGAGGCCATAAACGCGCCCTACAATTGTAGGGACGACTGACAATATGGGCCTAAGACTAGAACCATTCAAGTTTCATGAGTACTAGCAAGAAAACCGTAACAATTAGCTCAGTACTCGAAACTACTGAAATGAGCATTGTAATTTAGGAGTACTGAGGTACGATAAGCCTAAAGGTCTGCAATCTCAGCGGGGACTTTGTCGGACGGCTTCCACCAGAAACAAAGCAGCTAGGTATCACAAAGCATCGTTTGACCTCGCAGTTTGTCCATCGGACGCCTATGGTAGTGCGGCGTTACGATTGTAATTTTAACCGCCTACATGAAAATGCGCCTTCACAGATTGTCTTTTTTCCCGGTTGTTTTTTCCATATAACGGTCTCATCGGTTTTATATTGTGCTGTGCGATGATGGGGCCGATAAGGACGGCAACATGCTTCACGGAGATGCTGTTCAAGTAAATAATAAGGCCGCCCCGTTGCAGATTTCTTCAAGAAATCCGACCGCAAAGATTAACTATTCATTATGTTTCTTTAGTGTGAGAACGTTTATTGTGATATTTGCATTAGCTTGAAGCTTTTGGAGTATATGAGTGGGAGAAAAATGGGAGTAGAAGGCCAAGAGGTGCTAGTGCAAAGCCCTTTTGCGTATCTAGCTATGCTAGGGTCCAAGTGCTGACATTTCATAAGAATTAGATAAACATGGGTTTGCATCCAGTCCTTTTGATATCTTGAGGATCTGGCAGAGATGGACAAACGTGTGACGATCTTTATTTACCCGATTGCGTTTTT